CCCCCCCCCCCCCCCCCCCCCCCCGGTTTGATGAATGAAGGCTGTCGAAGGAGTGACTGTTTTCGTGTAATTTTGAGGAACCGATGGACTGGAGGAGAAGCATAGACGGGCAGTGACTGCTTATGGTATAAGCCCGGTAGGGAAACAAAGTAGTCCATTTGGCTTTAAAGGAAGAGGAGCAAAGTCTGGAAATCTAGGTTGTAGTCTTTAGGATCAAGGAGTAGGACAGTACTGTCGGGCTTTGGAGGAAACACTGGCAGTGAGTACGGATGGGGCAAGATCAGTTCTCTTCCTCTAGAGATCATCTAGCAATCAGGAGTATGAGAAGGGAGAAGAAGCAAACAGTAGACTTTTGTAAGCTTGCATGCAGTAAGGAGACTTGAAACTAGTGCATTAGTGCAGGGAATGGCAAACATTGTCAGAAAAGGGCCAGATGATTTAGGATCTGTGGGCGGTCTCTGTCTTAGCTACACAACTCTGCCCTGTAATGAGGAAGTCGTAGAGGACAATGTGTGTGGCAGTGTTCCAATGAGACTATTTACAGGCACTGAAATTTAATTTCAGTGGTCATGAAATAGTATTCTTTTGATTCCCCCCAATCTCCCAAAAAACGTCAAAGCCATTTTTTAAGGCTCTCAGTAGGTACAAAAACAACCTGCAGGTCAGTTTGCTGACTCCTGTGTTAGAGGTACTTTTTGCAAGCATGACCAGGACTCAGTGGGAATAAATAAGTCCACCATATAATCTGCCCTGCAATTTAGAAGACTTTTGGAAGTGAAAGTGGGCACTATTAACAATTACACCGGGAGACTAGGAGTAAAATCAGATTATCATGGGCAAATATAAATTCATAGTCACCCCAACCTTAAGGGTTAGAAGTCCAAATTATTTTTTAAGACTTTGTAACAGAAAATGGAGGTGCCAGTGATGGAAATGGAAGATTGGGAAGAAACTGTTTTTGGGGAAGCACCCCAGAGGTTTCATAATAGGTCACTCATAGCTTCTTGACCAGAAATGTGTCACTAGATATCCCTAAAGTGGTGATTGACAAGGGGCATGAGAGCACCATGATTGCTTTGGTTATTTGACTTGGGAGTTCTTATGCATTTTTTTTTTTTGCCATTTAGCATCCATGGTCCCTTCTCTCTAAACATCAGTGTCACCCCAGGCCTTGTAACACTGAAAAACTACTCTCTTTCTCTCCATACATGCTTCCTAGAGGGGTAGTACTGATTGAGGGAGAACTCCTGGCTCAGACCCAACAGAGTTAACCTTCGATCTGAATTATTTGTGCATAGGTTTGTTTTTCCTGATTGGTTTCAAAGAAAGAAGAATAAAACAGCATTGATGTTCTGCTGTCAAGGAAGAGGGTGGGGAACATTGAGTTTATTTCTTTATCCCAGTGTACTCCTTGTAGTCCTTGGGAGGCTGAGACTGGAGGATCACCTAAGCACATGAGTTCAAGGCCAGCCTCATCAACATAGCAAGACACCATCTCAAAAGAAAAGAAAAAAAAAATCCATTAATTTCTTGAAAGTAGGGTTGGTAGGGATGCCAGGAGTGTGGGGTATACAAAAGCGTAATAAAAGACGGGTGAGTCTGAAAACAGGAAAGTTAGGTGGGTCTGGAGCAAGAGTATATGATGGAGAGCTGTATGCTCTGAGGCTGGGGTAGGTAAAGGAAGCGTGGTGTGTACACAGAACACAGTGTAGACATTACTCAGATCTTCACTGACAGTTCACTGAGGAAAGGAATGCACAATATTGGCTGTACTCTGGTAATTGGGAAGATAAATTCTGTCCCCTCCCACGGAGGACTTGCAGCGGCCCCCCACCCCGACTCATTATGGAGATAAAGTCCAAGCCTAAGTCCATGAGCCATGTCTGCTGCTTTGTCACCCCACCCTCAGACTCCTCACACTACCATGCTGAGCCACTTGTAGTTTCTAGAAAGCTATGCTCAGGCTGAACTGCCTGCACTGCCCTTGCCTGTACTGACCTCTTTTTTTCCCCATTCCTAGCTGACTCCTTAGCTCAGCTAATAACCACCTCCCAGGAGGCTCACCCAAATCCCCCAAGGCTCAGTTCCCCCTCTTTTGGGGTGTTAGGGATCTAATCCAAGGCTTGGGCATATTAGGCAGGCACCACCTCTGAGCCATACCCCCAGCCCTCACCTACCCTCTGAAATCTTCCCATGTCACCTTGGAATTAGCCTGCAAGGAATACTTTTGACTCTGACTTACAGTGCCAGTTTATTGTCTGCCTCCCCACCACACTGCAAAAAAAAAAAAGACCAGTCACTGGTGTTATTCCTTGTGGACTCTTCAGTGCCTAGCGCAGAACACAAAACATAGTCATGGATCTATAAATATTTGTTAAATAAACAAATCTTAAATATACAAACCATCTATTTCCCCTTTTTATGTATTCCTTGTTAAAAAAAAAAAAAAAAAGTTCTGACTTTATTCCCTGTCCTGTGTAAGGTAGTGGACAGACAGAATTTCTAATGGATCTATCAGTGCAAGTCTCCATTCACAGGACAGTTATACCACTCACTGGAAACTGGTAAATGGGCATGGGGATTTTGTGTCATGTATCTTGGTTAGTGTAAGTTCTGCCCTGCAAGGGATAAATGAAAACAGAAACTCCTCTATGTGCTGTCAAAAGCAGATATCTTTTTTGGAAAAAAAAAAAAAATGGTGCATTATGGTTGTACATAACAGTGGGATTCATTGTGACATTCCTACATGCACATAACATAATCTGATCAATTTCATTCTCCAGTGCCCCAGTACTTCTCCTTTTCTTTCCCTCCTACCTCCCTCTGATCCCTTTCCTCTACCCTAATTACTGGTCTCACTTGTATTTTCTTTCTTTTTTTTTTTTTTTACTTTTTTTTCTCTGAAGTTTCCATATTTGAGAGGAAAACATGAACCTTCACCCTCAGAGTCTTATTTCATTTAACATGATGTTCTTCAGTTCTATCCATTTTCTTGCACATGATATAATTTTGTTCCTATGGCTGAATAAAACTCCATTGTGTGCATATATACCATATTTTCTTTATCCACTCATCCATTGGTGGTTCCATATGTAGGGTATCGTAAATTATGCTTCTATAAACATGGGTATGCAGGTATGCCGATTTTAATTCTTGGATAAACACCAAGCAATGGGATAGATGGTTTCATCCCTAGTCTTTTGAGGAATCTCCATTCTGCTTTCCATAGTTGTGATACTAATTTACAATCTCACCAACAGTGTATAAGTGCTCCTTTTCACACATCCTTGCCAGCATTTGTTATGGCTTGCATTCTTTTTTTAAAATATTTTTTTAGATGTTGATGAACCTTTACTTTATTCATTTATTTATATGTGGTGCTGAGAATCGAACCCGGTGCCTCACACATGTTAGGCAAGTGTTCTACCACTGAGCCACAACCCTAGCCCAGGGGCTTGCATTCTTGATGACTGCTGTTCTAACTGCAGTGAGAAGAAACCCTAGTGTAGTTTTTGTTTTTTTGTTTTAGTACCAAGCATTGAACCCAGGGGGCACTTAACTACTGAGCCACATTCTCAAACCATTTTATTTTGAGACAAAGTGTCACTGAGTTGCTGAGTCTGGCCTTGAACTTGCAGTCCTCCTGCCTCAGCCTCCCCAGTTGCTAGGATTATAAGTGTGTGCCACAGTGCCTGGCAAACCCCAGTGTAGTTTTGATTTGCATTTCCCCAATTACTAAACATGTTTTACATATATTTGTTGGCCATTTAAATTTCTTCTTTTAAGAAATGTCTGTTTAGATCATTTGCCCATTTATTAATTGGGTTATTTATTTATTTTGGTGTTAAGTTTTAGTGGCAAATATTTCCTCCCATTCTGTAGGCTCTCCCTTTAACACTCTTGGTTTTTTTCCTTTGTGTTTAGCAACCATT